AGGAACCCCCCCCCCCCCCCCCCATTTTCTTGGCAACTGATCAGTGATTGCCTGTTATTGGCATGTTCTTATTAGACATGCATGTCACTGATTTGCTAACTACAGATCACAGGTTTTCAGCAAATTAGAATTAAGGAATTTCTTCTAAAGCAATCTGGCTAAAACTTACATTTCCAGTTGAGAGTTAAAATTAGAATTTGAAAAAGCCCTCACATGAGCTCCAGTTACAAACACATGCTGGGTTTTGTTGGTGTTGTTTTTGTGCGTGTGTTTTATTTTTAAGAGAATCTAGGCCAGGAGGGATAAAGATGCTTCATTCTTTACCCTGCAGATCTCTCTGTGTACATATCTGTAGGCATCCAGGGGCTCTTCTGGTTCGAACTACTAGACCCGCGGAAGAAACCCAAGTGGTTCTCTCCCTGAAATGTAAGAGGGCAAATTTTGCACCATTCCAGCCACTATATATTCCTCCACTGGGGAGAACCATAGTTAATGCTACATACCGCCAATCCTAAGAGAAAAAAACAGCCCTAGGCAGACTCCTCTCATCTCACTTCCTTCCTTTCCCCTCATGTACTGTTCCTAGGAAATGGGTAGTGTTGGGGATTGCAGGGAATATTTCCATAAAGCTGAGTGGTCTGACTGAGTCTTGGCAGCTCTGCAGTACATTGGTAACCCTGTGAGGCTGCCATAAGTTAGAGCAACCCCTAACCTAGGGGTTTACACTGGGCCCAGACCAGCCCTCGCAGCAGCCCAGAATCTAGAGGATGCAAAGGAGGAACTTCCAGGACACCAGCACAAATTAGTTCAGAAGGGCAAGAGAGTAATAGTAATTGGGAGAAAGGGTGGCTAGATTCTTATTTTGATCTGTAACCCAGTGGTACTTCTTCAGAACAATAGCATTCAACAGTTGAAGTACCCTGGCTTCACTTCTAGAAAGCTAAACCAATTTAGGTAGCCTCTGTCTGTGTGTTTAGGGTCTTTTTAAAACTGGATTAGCAATGCCACACTGTTCCTGTAGTAACCAGGTTGGACAGACATGCCTCACATCTGCTGCCATGTCTGCAGATCTAGTATACTATTTTTCAGAACCATCTTTCAGATCGTTTTCCCCACAGGTCTTAACTAGTTTTTGAAGAATTCATAGCATGGACACAAACCACAATCTCCTTTCTAAATGTTGTTAATGTCCTTAATGTGATTTCTGCTGCCGAGTGAAGTGGAGTAGGTGAGCAGTTAGTTGCACACCACAAGCGTGAAAGTTCAGGGAAGCTGGTAGTCCGTCCTTTTTCCTTCTTACCAACTTTGCAATACTGTTCTTTCATCTCACAGAAGCGTTGTCAGCTCCCATTCCCGATAGAGAGAAATAGGGTGTTGAGAGGAGTTGGGGAAACTGACCACTCTTGGAAGTTTCATTTTCACTACCTCTTCCATTTTCCCCCTCTGGTGAGGGAGTTTGTCTTACTTCACAGTGGGCATGTCTACACATGCATTAATGCACTGTGGTTACTGCACATTAAGTTTAGTACCTGTAATAGCAGGTACTAACTAAATGTGCAGTACCTGGCACTAAATGTGCAGTAGTGCCAGCGCACGCCTTTTAAGTGAAGCTAACGTAACATAGACTAATTCTACTGCACACTAGCGCAATAGTACAGCTTTTGCTGTGGTGTACTAATGCGCAGTAGGATTAGTCTACAGTGCAGTTAGCATCTCTTGTAGACGTGCCCAGTGGAGTGGGTTTATTGCCATGGCAGTGGGTTTTTTTGGAAGTCATGACAAAGGTTCTGATTGCGAATTTGCTTTACTTGCCCTAATCTGGGTTTCTGATGTTCTTAAGGAGTTCACCATTTTACTGTTGTGCTTACAAATCCATCTGATGCTTCAGGCTTGCTGGTATCAATGGGAATAAAAAGGGAAATTGATTCTGCAAGTGCCAAAGATACAGTTTTGGAAAGCGATTGAGGAAAGAAGCTGTATTTCCATGCTGGGTTTGGAATCAAAGATGACTAATGGGGGACTTCACCTCTCATAGAGGGGTTATATTTAAGAGCTTAATTAGTGCTAGTGCTGAAGTATTCTCAGCCCCCTTCTAAAATAAACTTTTGCACTGGTGGATGCTAAGGAAGAGCGTTGGTGTAGAACTGGGAGGGCAGAGTGGCCATGGGAGTAAAGAGTCAGAGAAAATCTTGAATTCCCATTGCTTTGCATGTCTGTATTTGTGCACAGTACAAACAAGTACACAAGTGATGGGGCTACACCGTAGTGCCCAGTAGAGAAAGGGTGTCTGCTGACTACTTAAAATTGTCTGCATCTACACAAGACACAGAAAGCACAGTCGTTACTGCGCAGTCAGTTAGTACTTATATAAACAAGTACTAAATGACTGCACCATAACCGGAGTTGCAGCACACTCATATCAAGGAACAGCTGTTTCGTGATGCTGACTGCACAGTACCTCATGACTGCTGCACAGTAGTGTCACATCATGCTTCCTGCCATGCAGTGCTACTGTACAGTAGTCATGGGCTACCAAGTAGTCAGCATCTCATGTAGACGCAGCCACTGAGTAGTAACCCTTGTTGTCCAGAGGAACCAGGAGTTTTGTGGCTGATTTAAGACTTTCAAGCCTACATAGGAGTGGGGCATTAGCAGGGCCACAGACTGAAGTACCTCTGGTGCAACCCTTCAGGAACATGCTCATCCTCTGGTTATGCAGGAATGTTATTAACCTGGGTTGGTCAATAGGGGTAGCACTGCACTGATTGCCTAGCAGCATTTATCTGTTTACAGTACTGTGAAGACCAAATAAGGCGGGCAGTTTTTAGCCCATGTCTTAAGTCCAAAGCTTGAATAAAACTTTTTTTTTCCTGACATGGGTTCCTGCATCAGCCAGATGGTTTAGTTTTTTGTAAGCAGATGCTGACCATCTTCCTACAACTACTTTGTACAGAGATATTTACATTAAATTGTGACATGGTATTTGTGCATCCATTTTCTCCCCCCGCCCATGCCCAAACCTCTCTGTTTAGCAGTGACTCTTTAAAACCACATAGGTTTTCTTAAAGGCACAAATTCCAACTAAATCTGTGGAGGGACAAACCAAGAGGGCGTGAAGCAGTGTGGCTGTACGCCCTTTTGGCTGTGTCATGCAAGAGCTCTCTGCACAAGATCTTCCCTGAGTCCCTGCTTGCTTTCTTGTGGTTCCTGGTCCTCCTTTCCTCTGCTGATGAATTTAGTGATGGAGGCGAAGGGTGCACAAGAGAGGTGTTCACCCCTTGGGCTCCAGAGCCATGCAAAGACAGGGGCTCTAGCCAGATCCCACCCTGATCAAATGGTGAGTTCAGAGCTGACTGCTCACTTGGAGCCCACACTGACCAGGCAGCGAGCTCAAAGTGGAGGGGAAGCACTCCCCGTTCTTACCTTGTTCCTGGATTCACTACTGAGTAATTCTGCAAAGTTGCCTGGTAAATTCACAGTTGCAAGATAAGGGTTTAAATATTAT